TTAAGAGCAAAGAACGTTTGGGGTGAACTGTCCCTTTAAGAGCAAAGTGACACAAACTTTCTTACTATTACTTTAGATCTCTTCTTTGCATGCTTTGAATATTCAAACTTGCAGCAGAGAGCTCTCTGAGGGTTTAGTCGTCCTGCATTTTGATCTGCAGGCACTACTAAAAAATAATATTATCACAAATCTTCTGCATGTTTTAGGGTAAAATAAATTTACATATAGGCTAAAATCCTGATGTAAAAATGTATTAGAATGAACCATGCATCACAGATAAAGCATTTATTGCTCTTTGTAAAGATGGAAATTACGTTTTTTTTGTTATCATAAAGTTATTTTCATATCGAGAAAAATTAAAGTAAGAGTTAATCACACAGCTGTTCATATCTATATTTTGATTGGACTGATGTGGAAATATTCTCAGACTTCACGTGTCCACTACCATGTGTGGGACAAAGTCAAATCATTTACTAACGTAGAAGTAGAATTACGTTTAAAAAGAAGTCCTGCATTAAAAACATTATTCCAGCAGCAGCATCTAAGTGCAAAAGAAGAAAAAAAACATGCTAAACAAAAGTAAAAGTAGTTGACTCATCAGCATGACTCCTGTCAATGCCTTCACACGTGCTGATGACACACACGCGCGCGCGGTAAGTTATTTCCTTGTAATAATAATGACCATCACCCTCATAATCATCATCATCAGAGCGATATAAATGAATAGATGCAGTAAAACATCATGGAAGTGAGAGTTTCAGTGTGTTTGAATGAGTTCAGGCTGCATGGGGAATCCCCGCTGCTGCTGCTGCTGGAGCCGATCTCCTCGTTCAAATTAAGCTTTAAACTGACCTTAGAACTGTTTTACTGCTGCCGAGTCACGAAAACAATAAAATGACGTTTCAAACATTTCGACTTTGACCCTGTGGTCCGCTTTAAACCCAATGATGTTGATCACCGGAGCTGCTTTACTTTCACTTTCCGCAACATCAACCGTCCGCACTGAAGTCAGGATTGGTGCGTTTTCTTCTTACCTCAGCCTGAGAAATCCTACCGAAGTCCCTGAAGGCGCCTCCACACTGCAGTCTGTCGGTCACAGCGGATCGATATTACTGATTAGAATCGATTACCTGCGGTCCGAACACAGCAGCGGCAGCGGAAGAGGAAACTATAACAGCAGGAAGTGAGTTAGCATCAACAACCTGCTGTTATTACTACTGAGTGAACACAATTACTCAAGAACATGTTGTAAAATATCTATAGAAAATACTCTATTAAATATTTATAAAACATGCATTGTTACAGGTAAGAGTACTGCATTCAACATGTTACTGAAGTAAAAGTACAAAAGTAAAAGTGCCTTTTTCAGAATGTCCCATTTATGACTAATTTATCCTAGGCTTATTGATGCATTCATGTGTTCATCACGTTAGTGTTTCAGCTTGTGAAGCTGAAACTCATTTGAATTACTTTGTTACACTGCTTGGTAGTTTAAAAATGCATCATAATTTATCAGTTGATTTATATTTTTTATTAATATTCTGCATCTGCAAAGCTTTAAAATCACTATAGTGCAGTAAACAAGTATATTTTCCTCTGAGATGTAGTGAGGTAAAAGTATAAAGCAGCCGGAAATGGAAGTAAAGTACAAGTATCTGTTGGTAGAGTACTAGGATAAACTTTCTACTACTGCACTCAGTGTCCACTTTATTAGGTATACCTCTACAGTCTAACACAATACAGCTGTTCTGACATAAAGTTAGATGAATGTTTAGCGAGGCGGTCATTATTGCGAAATGAACATCGTCCCTTACTTCTGACCCCCTTTAACCGTGATATGTAACCTCAGTTATAAACATATTTAATTTACACATTACTGACAATGTCAACAACAACGGAACACTATAAAAACAGGCTGTTTGAGATGCGTTTTGGTTTCTAATTGAGACAAACGGTGTGTACAGATGTGAAGAATACAAACAGTCAGATGGTACAAATGTAGTTTTTAATGAGACGTCTCAGCAGCTACATGTGAACAGCAATATTTTACAAGTTGTACTGAAACTCGACGTACGACTCGATGACTCCAGTTACATTTAACGCCGTGATGCATGTTTGTCCAAAAAGCATTAAGAGCACTTTCACAATGATTTTATTTTTTTTTCACACCAAGTCCAAACTGACAGCAACAGGAAGAAGAATAAATAACACAAAAAAAAGACAGACAACACATCCGAAGCTCACATTCCAGATGAAGCTAACATTTAGGGCGTTTCAAAATGAATCTTCAACACAACAGCTACTCTGAGAAAGTTAAATCCAACAACAGGACAATTAGAAGAACAGCGAGGACCAGTTCTCATTTGGCTCTCGGAGACTATTTCTACACTGAAGTGTTTTTTTTAAGTGTTTTCAAAAAAGCTTCATATCAAACGTTTGTCACAGAGTTAAGTTAATGAGTTACTGACAGCTGATTTGATGGACAGCAGGTTACAAATTATTCGAATAGATACCAAACTGTACACGTAGATGTCTAATGCTACTGTTCACAACACTGAGGCTTTCGGTTCAACCTCCATCTGTTACACAAACATCATGACTGTCAGAGAGGTTTTTTTTACCACCGCTTAAGCGCTGGGTGACAACAAATCATAAAAACTGCGATCATATTTTGTCTCAGTGGCACATCATTTAAGGACAGGTCTGGTGATATATTTCTCTTTATGTTCAGCCTCAAACCAACAATAAATGTACCATAGACTAACTTAATTTATGTGTGTATTAAAGCCTGATATATCTTCTTCCTCTGTGCCATGAAGCTCCATTGTAACAGTTACACTGGGAAAAAAACTACAGTTACCTGCTGTTTTAGGGTAATTGCTGAGACTTTTTTAAAGATTTACTTCTTCAGTAGGAACCAATGAATGTGCCTGGAGCTGAGAGCCACATACAGTAAGTCAGTCAGTATAGAGAGCGACTGACACAATGTTGGTTTGAGGATAAACATGAGACTTGTTGACGACAAGAAAAATATGCCAGACTGACCTTTTAACATCAGCCTCAAGTGTTTCCTTATTTGTATCTAGGCCGAAAGGTCGTATGCAGTAAAGATCGTAAAGCCCTTTGGAAAATGTGTGAGCGCGTTGGTGACCCCTAGTGGTCATTACAGCCACAACAGGAACAGACAACATTGACTTTCATCATCGGTGGAGATGAACATGTAGTTAGTTGTAAAAGATCATGGGTTCACTAAAATCCAAAATGGTTCATCTTCTGGGGAGCCAGTATTTTTTGGAATAATTTGTTCGGACCAATCGACAAGAGAGGGTTGAGAGTCAGCAGAGACTCAGTACAGTTTACATGTGGATAACTCTGGAAGGTGGAGGATTAAGACAACTCATAAAAGATAATGAAATTAAATCAATACAAATGTTGACTTTCTTAATGTAAGAAGATACACTGATTCAAGTTGAATTTAAAACCCAATTCAAAGTTATATTAGACTCTATTACTTTATTTCAATTAGATTAATTTAGCTGTAGAAAATACTGCAACATCTCGAGCCTTTAGTATCTACTAGGCTGCTGATGAGAACTGATAAATCACTTTGAAATGTACAGGTACCGCTGTCGTGTGCCATTTTTCTTTGCGGTTTATGCAGTTATGTCCAAGTGGAGGCATAATGATAAAAGAAAAAGCAGGGACCTAGGATTGAACCCTGTGGGACGCCACATGTCTAGTGACTGTAAAGGCTCTGCTTTAACAATCTGCACACATTCTGTGACAGATTTATAAAGACTGAAAGACTTGGTAGCCAAAGATCTTTTGCAAAACAAAGATTTGAAAACCAGGTGTCCATAGACCAGCAGGATTGCTGCATGTAAATCCTGTGGGAAAGACAAACGTCAACTCCTAAAATACTGCTGACCAACAAACAAACACTTTGGATTGTGTTCCTTGTCACCTTTATGTTCTTGTGTGGTAAGAGTAGAAAAAGTGATCGGAGGCCGTGAAACTCGCTTTCCTTGTTCTGAAGAATTAAGTCACTCAGATTTTCCCACAGGACCTGAACGCAGCAGCTTCAGATTGAACATTTTCTTTCTTGTGTCTCTTCCGCAGAAACTCCGTCTGATGTTCGTCAGTGGAGGGAGGAAGATGAGGCCTCTGATTGGTGGACAGCCATGCCGGGGGGCTGCTGGGCGGAGCTTGGACCTGACCCCCCGGGGTTGCCGCCGAGGGTCATGGGAATGGGAGGGCGTGGGTTGAGGCGGGGGGGCATGGGGTTGGAGGGGCGAATGAGTGGCGGAGGCTGCTGCAGGGTGGGGCGGGGCTGCAGGAAACGGGCCTGCTGTTGGAGGGGCGGAGGCTGGCGGTGTAGGGAGGGCGTGGCCGGGAGGGAGGGCCGCAGGAGGGGAGGGGGCTGGTGGAGGGAGGAGGAGGAGGTGGTGGTGCTGGACGTCACTGGAACCTGAGCCGAAGAGGAGGCAGCAGGAGACGCACCTGAGGAGGTCACCTGACCCTGCAGTAAGGAGAAGAGGGGGACAATAAGTACCTCACTACAAGTCTGCATTATTCACATTCACAAGTCCTCTAGTAATTAATAATAATTCCACTACAGATGCTTTTATTGGTTAAAATAATAAACGTCGCTGATGGTATCAGCGACGTTTATTATTCAGCTGTCACTACCAAAAAGCAATAAACAAACATGGAAATAGTGAAATAGATATATTGAATTAAGTCATTTAAACATTCAGACTGAAGTGAATTATCTATCTGCAGCAAGTTTCATTTCTTTTTCTAAATGTGTGCCCTGGATGTAAGGAAATCAATCTAAAAACTGATGGATGGAAAATGATCAAGGAATGTGAAGCATGCAGGTAATGTGGCATATGCACCAGAACACAACATGGGATATAAAATATCTAAAACCTGAATAACCTGAATACTGTACTGTCAAATGTCTCACCTCTTCATCCTCTTCGTCAGTGCTCTTCCCCGACGGTGTGGTGGAGCTCGTCTTCCCCTCCTCTCCAGAGGTCACGCAGTCTCCGTTGGGAGCTCGCGTTCCCCGCTCGGCCTCCCACTCCTGCAGCACCTCGTCCAGGTTGAACCGCCGCCGGTAGTTCACAAAGAAGTTCTTCACCTGTCCCACCGTCTTATTACCGATGACGTCGGCGATGGCCTGGAAGTCTTTCCCGTATTTCCTCACGCCTGAAGAACATCACAGAGGGTTCGTAATGATGTAATCAAGTCTTAAACTGCCACCAAAAAAATACAGTAGAAGAAGAAAAATAGGCTATTGAGAGGGAGATTTTATCTGGTGCAAATGTATTGACTTGGTGTGTGAGACGATGAGGACTGAGGGAAGTCATCAATAAGTCCAATATTCCTCTTTTAGCTCCGGTTTTGGTCTCCACCATCTCCTGAGGGAAATATCTGTCTCTTTAGCTGCTAAGTGCTCCGCTATGTTCACCGGCTAGCCTCTAACTATGTCTGTCTGCTGCTGAGCAGGTAGGAGGTGTGACACAAAACCCAAAACTAGGAGCTAAAAGAGGCCAAAAAAGCTACGTAGAGTTCTGCTAATTCTCTGTGTTTTGAACTACGAACTACTCCGCTCACATATGTATATTCATCTGATCCACTGGCTGCTAACATAAAAATATTGATAACTGCAGCTTTAAAGACACAGTGAAGATAATCCCCGGTTTGTTAACGGCACATTACTGAAGATAAAGACGCTGAAACTACTTTTTCACTGCGACTTTAAAATAGAAAACAGTGCTCATCGTGTATTTGTTGGATTTCAGCTCCTTTTCTAACCTGTTACTTGGTCACCTGTGAAGAAGCTCACCTTGAACAGCCAGGAGCTGCTCGTCTGAGGTCCAGCGGGCGTTCACCTTCTGGTTACACTGAAACATCAATGACTGGCGGTTAACTACTGACACCAGAACCAGAACCAGAAGATGTGAGAGTCATGCTGTCCTCTGGTGGTGATTCATCAAACCTCAATGCAAAAAGAATGGAATGTTTCCACACAGGGCAGAGAAGCAATTACCATAAGAGTCAAAGAACTAACAAACCACTGTCCGATATTTAAAGAATATTATTATTAGAGAATATTGATGCATTCAAAATTGCACTTAAGTAAAAGTACAAAAGTATGTTCTAAGTATCAAAAGTAAAAGTATTTGTTTGTCAGTGTTATATCATCATATTACGGGACCATTATTATTGATGCATTAACACATAAACAGCACTTTAATGTTACAGCTGGTTGAGGTGGAGCCCATTTAAAAAGCTTTACAGGTACTTTTGGTAGTTAAATAAATAACAAAACATCATATTTATAAACTGATCAAATGTTTTGTTTGTAAAATCTTCATCTGAAACGTAACTTTAAGGTTTCAAATAAACGTAGTGGAATATAAAGTAGAATATGTGCCTCTGAGATGAAGTGGAGTAGAAGAATAAAGTAACATAAAATGGAACACTCGCTCTACCAGCACTTATGTGATTAACCGTGATAGTAATTTGGATGTAGTTGCTCTATTAGACATGCTTTGTGAGGTGGTGTAAAAGGTGAGCCTCTTTGCATCAGTGGTGTACCTCAGCCAGTCTGAACTCTCCAATCCCAGAATCCAACATGTGTTTCAGTCCGCTGTTCATCTGCTTGGCGTTCTGCACCTGAAGAACGAGACTCAGCTTAGCTTCAACAAAACTCACAAGTGTGACTTTCACCGCTTCTCTGCTTTAAATGTTGAGCTGTAAATGTCCTTCAATCTCTGAGAGACAGTGGACTGACAGCTGCAGGTAGCACCAGCAGGGGGCAGTGCAGAGCAGGGACATGGACAGGCACTGCACAGGACGACTCAGGGACACACCTGGGGGGGGTCTTTCAGATCGTGCTACCAAGTCCACCGCTACGTTTTATCGAAAGAATGAGCGACACAAATGTTTCCTGTGATGTCTGTGGTGAGTTACTCTCTCTGTCAATAATGTCACAACCGTCTTTACACCAATTTCACTAAATGTATTAAACAGCAACATGCTAATGTTAGCAAGCTAATGACAGGCTTATCTAATGTGATGGTTTACAGTTGTGTTTACTGAAGACATCTAGTTCATTCAAGATATTAAACTCTTTTCACAAGGTCCTGTTCTTGTTCCAGAGCTTTTGATTGTTTCACACTGTCTTCATCAGCAGACTGTAGATGCTCACATTTCCATTTTTTTTTTTTTAAATCTCAATTTTTAAACCAAGATGGAACGAAAAGATAACTATGAAAAATAAAACGCTTAAGAATCTCAGGACGTCTGTAAACTGCATCCGATAAATGGAAAACTTCAGAACAGCTACTAAGCGGAGCTTGTTTTGTCAAGTCAACTATCAACTTTAAATATCAACAAACAAACATAAGTTACGAATGTAACTTTGGTTCTGTGTTGATGAATGAAACAGAACTGTTGATAGAAGAACATCCGTTGTTTTAACTCATTTCTAAGCGGATTTAAGGACATTTATTACTGACGGTCATCAATGATGAATTCAGAAAGTCTCGCTCACACTGAATCTAAGCTGGTTATAAATATTAATTTCTTTCTCATTCTGCATCAGTTTTCTCAGATCCCTGGTCTGGAGCAGGAGGACTGCTGCAGCGTCTCCTACCTGTCTCTTGAGGGACACCAGCTCCATGTCCAGCTGACGGAGGAGGGTGTTGGCGGCGGAGGAGCTGCAGGACACGGACACCACGTCCTCCTGGGTCAGGTACATGCCTTTGGGGGGGCGGCAGCGGGAGCGCTGGTGGTGTCGGTGCTGCAGGGTGTGGTGCTCCCGCCGACCCAAAGCCACCTTCGAGCCCGGCACCACCGGCTCCACCTGGGTCTGCAGGAACGAAACGCAGAGCTGCTTACTGACCAACTGAAACCAACAAATAAGTCACACATGTAACTGAATGCATCAATAAGTGAGATTGTTGGTTGAATCAATAAAATGTAGTGTGAACGACATCTAATCAGGAGTTTATTTTCCTTTTATCATCAAGCAGTTCATAGAATAAATAATAAAATATTTTAGTCTTCTATTTATGAAAATTGCTCATTTTATTTCAAACTTTTGTTATTATTTTCTACATGTACTTGTGCATATATAATGAGATGGGCGTGGCTAAAGTATAAAGTTCTTTTTATTCTTTTTAACTCCATTTGAAATATTGAACTAACAGTATTATTTATTGATGTCAGTATTGTTTTTTTTACTCGTCTTTAACTACATTTTGTCAGTTTCGGGGTTCAATAGATGAAAAACAAAAAATAAATGGCTAAATTTCTAAATAATTTGACGTGTAAACTGTTTTATGAAGTAAAAACATCAAACGATAACCGGCTCCGGCTTCTCAGATGTTTGGATTTATTTGTAGTGTCTTATAAAATACACTCGGTGTCCAGTTGGAGTGGACAAAGTAATAGAAACACCTTTACGATCCCGAATTTCTAGATTAAATAGCTAATTGAAAGAAGAAAAAAAAGACAGATTCATGTTAGTAAAAAATTTGATCAATAAATGTTGCAGACCTGCCAAGGGACAGAATTTGAGAAGTGTCTTTGTTTATTAATCTTTTCTACGAATGGAATATTTTAGGGTCTAATTCAAAAACATTTGAAAAGAAATGTATAAAAGCCCCATCTGAGATCACAGAGGTTTTAACAGGGACTTCCTTTAGTGAGTCATCAGGTGTGTTGTCGTACCTCTTTCTTGGTTTCCTTGTTGGGGTCGTAGTCGCTGTCGTTGGCTTCGATGGGAGGGGCCTCCTCCATCTCCTCATCACTACGGCAACAACAACAAGAAGCCAAAATTCAGTCGGTAGACGTCATTTTAACAACAACAACACAGCCGGCCAAGATCCCGAACAGACACATTAGACACCACAGAAGAAGAACGTAAACACGAGATATGACGACTCTGATCTGAATCAAAAAGTCGTTTTTTTTGTCAATAACACAAAATTACGTATATTTGCGAGTACTTGATATACAAATGGTCATCTTGAGGGTGAAGTATTTCTTTAATTGTTACGATGGCGTTTCTTTACTTCATAAACTGAGAGTTTGGGAGTGACCTGTCGTCCTGGTTGCTCCTGTTGGCCAGTTTACGAGCCTGCCGGTCCATCAGGCTGGTTCTGGAGCGAGTCTTCTTCCAGGAGTAGTAGTACTTTACCAGACTGGAGATGGATTTGTCCGGTAACTGAAGGAAACATGATCAAAAATTCAGCATTTACTGCTCATCAAGTCTTTTTTGCGTAAAACCATAATCTGAAAAGTAATCAGCAGCTACAGTATAAAGAAGTAGAGAATGGTAGTAAATGGACTTGGTTACTTTGTGACTATATTACGGTAATAGTACAGTAAATCAGACACACGGTACAGACGGGGGGGGGGTTTACCATCTGCTGGATGCGGTGGAAGCTCTTGCCATGGAAGCTGAAGGCCTGTTCAAACAGCACCTTGTCCTCCACCGTCCACTCGTCTGGAAACGGGGTGAAGTTCGGCAGGTCGGCCAGAGACTTCTCTATGTTGTGTTTGTGCCAGAACAGCATGCCGAGTGCCTGCACACACACACACACACACACACAGGAGTGTGAGGGACACATCCGATTTAAAAATATATACTGTATATATATATTTTACATGTTGTATATAAATGGTCACAGAATTTATAATGCAAACAAAATAAAACATGTATATCAGCATGTGATTTTCTACATTTCAATATGATTTATTGTATTTAATGTGGTTTGAGTTGTCCACTTAATGCCAGCCGTCAAACGGCTTCATCGGCACCACAAACTGATGTTTTCCAGAGTCGTAATAGTGCAGAGTTGTGCAGATCGTCATCTCCAGTGTTGCTGGATTGATTTGACTTCATGAGCTGTTTGGATCTCTATTAAGTCAAAATAGGCTTTTTTTTTCTTTTAAAGTTATCCATCGTTGTATTTTTCTGAAACCCTGACATGATGAAACTGGAAACTTTTAGAGATGAATTACTATCAGTCTGAAGTCAGACTGACGCGCACATTATTTTTACAGTTTGGAGAAACTTTCAGGATGTTTAGGGAGAATAAAAACCAAACCTCTGAGTGAGACAGACGTTATTTTATGGTCAGCACGTCATCCGACAAAATCAATGTAAGTTGCAGCTTCATGACAACAGCTGTTCTGTGTGATCGGCTGCACGGACATTTAGAAAGTTTCTAACTTCATTGTCACACAGTCGACCCTCACTGAGCAGCTCACATCATCGCTTTGCAAAAGTTTTCCATTTTCTTTTGTGATATTTAAACACATTTCGGAGGCCGTTTTGGAAAAGTTCCGTCATCTGGACGTGGGAAACCGATATTTTAGTGGACGGGGGGGCTGAAACGTAACTCACCTGCTCCACGTTGTATCCATGTTTCTCTTTGGCCAAAGCGATGTATTCATCAACTGTGGGGGAAAACACACACAGTTGCATCAGTCTGATGGAGGACTGCAGCAATGTGTGTTGTGTTCAGTGTGTGTTCGGTGTTACGTGTGTGTGTGTGTGTGTGTGTGTGTGTGTGAGGATGACAGGAAGTTGACTTACGTTTGGAGTCGACGATGGTGTGATACGGAGACCAAACCAGCATCCCGCCGCTGTCTTTATCCGTGTACTTAGTAGAGCCTGAACAAACACAAAGAACATCACACCCATCTTTGAGAAAAGAAGTACTGTACTGTAAATGATACAGTCAAAAATACTGATTGTGCATTTTAACAAATATATTATTTCAAAACTAATTTTAAAAAGCATTAACAGGATTATGTTGACACTGTAAAATATCCCAAACGTGGGTCACAATAATTGTATACACATTACAAGCTATTTTTAAATTAAAAAACAACAAATGTTGGATGATGTTTTATTTAATGCTCAAATATTGATGTTGGTATATCCTTTAAAAATGTTATTACTTTTTTTGTGTAATCAAACTTACATAACTTCAAAAAGAAAGAAATAATAAACAGAAAA